TGTACCTGGCTCTACAACTGCCCACAAGCTCTCATTTCTTCCTCACACCATCTCCTCCTCCATGTCACCCTCATCTTGGATGCCCAACTCGTCGTTTCCCATGCGGGTTGTACTCGAGCAACTGGCCTGGCGTATAATGTCCCCGAATGGTCTTCTTAGTGCATACCTAATCCATATCCACTTCTTTCCAGTGCATATTTGTTGAGTGACAGGTTCTTGGTTGGTTCGTTGCCAGGCTAGAGTTCCTTTTTGCTTATGCTTTCTGGCATCTGATCTTCAGTAACGAGCCAGAGTAGGCAGTTGTTGATGAATGACTGTAGTTTGTTGAAAAAGTTTTTGGTAACTCGCCAAGTCTCTGAACCATCACATAGAAGCACTGACTTGACTGATTTGGTGTTGAAAATCTGGAAATATATATATATATATATATATATATATATATATATATATATTGACCTTGGTTGTTTTCAATCCTTTCAAGGAAAGTGCTTCCTATCGATTTCACCTCATCAGCCAGTCTGATACCTACATGTACCTTTTATGAAAAAGGATAACAATCACTATCATAAACAACATGGTTCATACAGCTAGAAATTCTCATTATGTAATATTTTCTAACAAATTTACTTTTTGTACAATATTTTTAAACGGTATAATTGTAGCATCTTAGGAATGTCAATCATAATAGTATAATAAGTGATAAAATGAAATAACCAGCTGTTGTTAGATTATCGTCTAGTAAGAATAGTAAAAGAATAGAAAAGTGTATGCAAACTTGGTGATTATGATGGTTCATTGAAACAGTGAGATTTTGGCTAAGTATTCCTGCAGTAGTCTTAATATTTATTCCTGTGGGTTTAAAGTTGACTGCCGTGTATCATTATATATTTTAATATTGTTACTATTGGCTTACAAAATGGTGGATTGAAAACATTTTAAAAGTGCGCGACAGAATATCATATGATGATTAGAAGACAAATTTTGTAGATTAAAACAAGTTGATAAGAAGGAATCTGATTCAATATATTCTGTGAGAAATATTTCGATAGCTTAAGGTTCAAGAAGGTCGGAACTTTAGGGATTTCGGGCTTCTTCGGAAAATTTGTACAATATTCCTCCAAAAGTGATTGGCGTTTGGATTCATTCTCTACTAGGACCTCTGCTAGCTGACTGCTCCATGGCAAGCCTGGAAAACATCAAATTATCATGAACAATCAATAAATTTTATGTCTAAAAAAAGATACATGAATGATGCGTTTATAATTTATGATGAAAATATGAATCTTGTCAAGTTATTTCATACCTTCAACAATACTCATCCTTTAACTGCAAATACTTCGACGAACTCTAGTGGAAAATAGTATTTCCTTCACCTTTTGTTCATTTTCCTACTCTGTCATAGATTTATCCGATATTACACAATCACAATTTTATTTTCATAACCCATTGTTTATTTTTCCACTCCAAATCGAAATGTATATTATTTAATTTCCTTTGGTTACTCAGTTTATTTTACCCCTTTACCGGGAATAATTCTGAAACATTCTGTCCACTGTAACATATATTCACGAATGTACAGCTAGGTAGTAAGTGACTAGGACGAAACAGCTGTCCAGTGCTCCCAGGTTTCCTTGTTCCTCCAACCGATGTCAGCCTTCGATGAATAACAACTTGAAGTAAATGACTTCGTTGAAAAGAAAAATTTTTCTCTTCACTGAAACCACGTCTTGTCTTTTCTTATGATCAAATGGGTGTATTCAGCTGATCATTATTTTTTTCTTTTTTTGAGGAAAATAATAATATTGAAAATTTAATTTAGATTAGTAGAGTAAATCAATCCACTTTTCTTACTATGGGATCACTTTCTTTATATCTTTGTAAACTTCAGGATCAAAATTTGATCTGATAGAGTTGAATAGGTTGAGTATTGGATTATAAATGAAATATATTTTTTTGTAAAATCCCAATGAAGTAGAAAGATAAATTTCTGACGTTTCATGACTTTATGGAAATTGCTTCTTCAGAGAATAAAACCTGTACAAGTTATCAATAGTTTAAATAGCCAAAGGTGATGAATCAAATCATATTATCGTCTATATATGATGATAATATGTACGTGAATGTCATCGTTATATGCTGGTCAGAAAGCGGTTACAATTTCTTGTTGTTTATCAGTTAATTAGTCTGGAGTTCAAGGTGATATGTGTATAGGTAACTGGGTATGAAAGTGTAAGAAAATAAATAAATAAATGATATGGATAACAAATTTGGTTTGTTTGTGTTTATGTACTTTTGACTAGATCATTGTGTGTGATGTGTTGCTTATGGAAATACTATCCAGGTTGGTTGGATAGTTAGGCCTTCCTTTCTGTTGAGTGCAATAGGATTCAACGTAATGTGAAATGCCTCTGTTATTCTACTGTCTTTGTAGTTTAAAAATCCTTTATGAATAATTTTTAATATTTTCAATATAGATTTTGTGACTGTGATAGATGGCGTGAACTGCGATCGCCGACTTGATTTCTAGGTTCTATAGTTCTACAAGATTATTTGGCGGTCGTTTTGTGTAGCTTGAGTGTTCTTTAGCCTTAATGAGGATCTCATGGGATGATTCTCCAATATAATAAGCATCATAGTCGATACAGCCTAATTTTTAGACACAATTTTATGCGGAAGTAAAAGGAACTTTATCTTTTACTTGGACTGGAGCGTTCCTCAGAGTGTTAGTTGTCTTGTACAGGTTTTATTCTCTGAAGAAGCAATTTCCACGAAGTCACGAAATATCAGAAATTTATTTTTCTACTTCATTGAGATTTACAAAGAAATATATTTCATTTATTACTTTCTCCATACTTCCGGAATCCACCTTATCATTTACTAAATAATCTTTCAAAATTCAATGGATTAAGTTGACGATTTGCATTCCAAATAAATTTACTCCTACATAAATATACTACGTAAAGATGACTCGTCCAGCTATCGAAATTAAAAACTATTATAGTCACGATAATTATTCTGCTTTGGTAAGCAGTCTCATCTACTGTTTAACCTCAACATTTCTTACATGGTGATTCCAGTATACTTGGGCATCACCACCAAGACGCCTGTAATCAAAACTTGTAATCTCTTGATCTCTTTTTACCTTCAATGACCATGCCTCACTGGCGTTTAATATGACAAAGCAGTCAACGCTACAGTATAGTCATCATTTAATAGACATTTAGATATCTTATCGGCTCCATAGATGGCATAAGTTGACAAATATGAAACGAGCTTTCTGTATCCGAGATGAGATTACATCAACTGTTACAACTTCTTAAGTATCTGAGTTGGTCAACACACTCCGTCACTTCATGTCCTATCCTCAAAACGGGTAGTAGTCCAAAACCAGTCCAGAAACATCACTTTTACATTCAACTGGTGCCAAACACAGATGGATTTCTGTTCAAAGCATCCCAAAGCTCCTATATTTTGTCACTGTTTTCACATGACAGGAAAATATCGTCTGCGTATTCCTAGTTACTTAGAAGGTCTTTAAGGAGTAGGTGAATCTTTGTAAAGTTGGGACTGCTAAGGTTAATGTCCATTGTTACATGTGTAACGAGGTGAAACAAGAGGAGTAATAGCGGCAATCTCTGGTTCTCATCACTAGTTATTATCAATTCAGATGACAACTACCCATAAGCTCTTAGATTACCGTATGTTTTCGAGTACATAGCTTCGATTGACATTTCAGACGTGCTGAGTTCTTCCTCTATAGTCGAAAACTGCCATAAAACTCAGCAGGAATGGTAGAATGAGAGTTACATGCACCTTTCTGACTTTTCATCATAACATTCGCTTTCTTCAGTTGTTCAATACTCCAACTGTTCAATTTTTCATATCAGCAACGTTAGAGATATCTCGAAAATATACTTCACTTTGGGAAACAGTTATTAACAATGGTCTTCTCACCGGTCAACAATCACTAACAATCGATAATTCACGATTTCTATTCAGGATGAGTACATATACCTTCATCTTACAATTTGACAGCCACTTTGTGACATGGTTTCCTCAGCGATACACCTACATATATATGTCATCACAACTTCAGGTGAACTTAAAGAAATACAGGGAAGTAGAACCAAGCGAATACACATCTTTGATATACGGAGTGAAACAAACAACCTTTGTAAACTTAAAGTTCTCAGTTTATTCCACTAATAATTCACTACAAAGTGAAAGTGATTTGGTTGTCGTCAGTATTCAAGTCACTGGTGTTCCATTATATACATGACCAGATTATTTCATAATTATGTCATGATAAGTAACATGGGGAATCGCCTTGACAAAAAATACGAATAACCAAAATATCTCATAGTCAATTGGTTTATGATAACATTGAATGGTACTAAAAACTCAACCAACAAATTTAAATCAACTGGTTCCTTTGATAAATTTAAACAGCATAATGAGAAGATAAAGATTATCTGAAACACGTCGTGATATATATTAGCGCTATACATTTTGAACAATCTGATCACATATATGAACTTGTCGAACTATTTAAGTGAAAATTTACGAAAAGGGTGAATATAGTTAGTGGAAGACATAGGAGGAATAGGAAGGGAGAGAAAAAAATATGTTATTCACGTTACTCTTGGTATGAAAATTAAAATTAATCCTAACAAGGTAGGTTCAAAGCTGTTTAAATCAACCAAAAAACGTTACATAGGAAAGTAGATGGGTTATATAAACTGATTAACACAAAACTGTACCTTAGAGTTTAGAAAACTGGACTCTTTAGTATTCATTTTATGGTTTATTATGTCAAATGTTTTAGGTTATTTATTATTTCAATAGTTACTAAGGTGACATTTAGACTTATTCTAGTTTACTGCTTTGTTTGTCTATGATTTTAAAAGGATATCATATATTTTTGTTGATAAAAATGTAAAATTGTTTACACAATCACTTGAATGATAAATGAGATAATTATTTCATTTTCATATCTTTAGTGATCTATTGAAGGAACCATTTATTCAAACACTTCTAAGACATACAAATCCACAGTTGATCATGAGAGTTAAAAGATGCATTGTTACAGAAGCTGACAGTAAGTTATGCTGTTTTCAGCTATATTTCTTATGAGTAAAAATATTCTTTCTCAATGTTTGAGTTCATTTTCTTAATCCTATATGACTGAAAGTAAAGATGAGTTAGATAACATCAATTTGGAAAGCAACATTACAGCATAAGCCTGTTTATTTCCACACACCGAATATCAGCACATCAAGCAAGAATGCATGAAGATGAAAAGTTAATGAATGAGAAAAAAAAAAAGCAATCATAAGTGGTAGAAAGTAAGAATAACAGAATATTGAAATTTGATGTGATAATTAAGAGGAAGAATGATATGCGGATAAATTTGTGCCATTGTGATCAATTCTAAGCTATATCATCTGGATTTTTCAACAACCAGTTTCTGTTGGCATATGGTCTTCAATTAGCTACATAGGTTAGACCAACGGACATAGTTTTCATGGACTGATTTCACGTTTTAGTCCAACCACTCCCAACCTTTTTCTAGTTTAAACTTACTTTAGCCAACAATATGTTATAAAGCGAATGATGACCAGGTATACGTAGCACTGGAAGTAAACAGATACTATTCAGAAGTAGTATTCATTATGGACTGATATTAGTTGGGGAACCACTGAAAATCTGGCAGCACTGGACACCTGTTTCGTCCAACTAGTATCCAACTCCTCAGTAGTACGCACACACCACCCGGCTACGGATCGAACTCACCACCTTCAGGTTTCACGATGAACGCATTAAGCATTCAGCCACTGGGTCGGTTTCCAATGGTTCACAGTTTCAAACTTCTGTCAATTCACGACATAACACGACTATCACCCAAGGTCTTCAGTTAGCATCCACTTCACTTCCGACTGGCTGACCCCACAGGTCATGGCTTCTCATTAGACCTTCCTGATATCCATCTGGAAGCAAGTGACTAGTGAGCACTATAGAGTAATGTATTTTAGAAATGAATGGAAATTTTTTAATTAAGAAGTAGTATTCATCACGGACTGATATCCATGATGAATGCTATTCATCTCAAAGATACTATTCATTCATTTCCGTAAAAATGTACCATTTATGAAAATAATTTAAAATTGATTGATGGTTAAAACAAAATAATAAAATAGAAGTAAATTGGTTCACAAATATTAACTTTTGATGATGAGAAAAGCTGAAGAATATAAAATACTTAGATGAATATTACATGTCTGTTGGTGATAACTACAGTTCAAAGATCAAGCATGTATACTAGTGTTGGTATATTTTGTACATTTTCATTTCACGAAAATTATTCATAACGGTTCTTGAAAAAGATTTTATACACTGATTAGTTTATTAAATCCCATATCTTGTATCACAAGATGTGAGATTTAACTCAGAATTTTAACTGATCTCATTATACATAGGTCGAAATCAACAAGATGACAACATTTTCTTAGTCGTTGTAGATACGATTTGATGATACATGCAAACTAACACAAAATTCAGGTCAAGCAAAGCGTATGATTCACTGATAATATTCGATATCCTAGAAATTGGTCATTCATATACATTTGAGATCTAGAAAGTTAAAACAATGTAACTGACGAGATATTCATCCTTAGTCGGTACCATTTGGTAAAAACGAGAAAATTGTGCACATATACAACGGGGGTTGAATTGATGTAAAAGTGTATTCATTATTTGCTGATACTCATGATGCCTCGTTGCTATACTGGATGAAACCAATCGACCACTGCTGGTATATCAATCCCTGCCCAAATGCCTAAACATTCCTTGAATATTCATCCTTATCATTTCCTCTGTGGTATCTGGCAATGGAATCCAGAAACGACATCTCATCCTATTTCAGACTTGTCTGCTACATGTACTCTCAACCCAGTCTCGAGTCCTAAATAACACGAAACGCTCATCCAGGGTCCCATAGATAGCCACCGCAAAGTAAGTTATGAAAAGTGTATTCCTTCTAAATTATCTTCCCAATTTGAAGGTAGTATTTATCACAGATTAGCAACATCCAGAGAATCACCAATATAATTTAGATAATAATGATGGATGGTGACGATCAGTGGAATGCAGGATGCACGATTCCTCCTATTCCGGACTCGTCAGTTGGATCTACCTGCCTCCCAGTGAGAAACATTTTCCCCGGTAGGGCACAAACCACTACCCATCAACACCAGACGCCAGAGTGTTATCCACTGGACCAGTGAATCATGATGGATAACTCTAGATCAACACATATACTTCATATAATGTCGCCTGTATTATCTCATCGTTGATTAGTTCCAAATAATCCGTCTCTATTGGCTATTTACTTTGCATCATTATTGTCCAGATTGAAAATACAGACCACACTCAGTTAGCAGCACAGGAACACATATGACAACATAGATCGATCAATTCAGTCCTGTCAACAACGTGGTAATACAGGCAAGATCATACATGAATCTAATTGAATAACCAGCATCACTCATCGGTTTACAGAGATAAATTTCAACCAATGGGTCTCAGGTTCAAGCACGTCTCCACCTACCGAGATTTGGTGGGTATCGCTCATTACCTACTGCAGGAATGTGAACAAGGTTGCTGAGTGCAGTTCGCCATTCGAACCAGAACCATTAATACATATGTAGACAAACACTAATTATTATCAAATATTATATACATCTAACCTCACCCGGTTAACTAGTTTACTAGTTACTAGCCGGTCCTAAGCCCGGGTAAAGAGGGAAGGTTGGGCATAGGGCTAGCAACCCTACCCGTAAAACAAATCTAACCGCTAAAGAAACTTCAAAGCACAAACAAAATAAAAAAAATGAAAACAAACTTATTCCTCGCTGGAATCGGAGAGGCGAAATGACGCCAGTTGGTGAAAGCCTTCGGGAAGCCAACTGGCCGATGTGTCTTCTCTTGATGAAAGCGAAAGTAAACGTGGGGACATGGAATGTCCGTACGATGTTTGAACCCAGTAAGGCAGCCCAGATTGCAAAGGAGATGAGAAGGTATCACATCGAAGTGCTTGGGATTTGCGAAAGCAGATAGAATGGGAGTGGACTCTCCAATCTGTCAACTGGAGAATCAATAATCTACTCCGACACTGTCACCCAGACGACAACCACGAGCACACTGAGGGAGTGGCTATCATGATGTCCTCAAGAGCATCGAAGGCTCTCATGCAGTGGGAACCAATCTCCTCCTGCAGGATCATGACAGCAAGATTCAACTCAAAAGGAAGGTCACAATCATACAATGTTATGCACCTACAAATAATGCAGAGCAAGAGAAAAAGGAGGATTTCTACAGACAACTTCAATCAACACTGGACAAGACGTCAGTTGGTGATATCAAAATTCTAATGGGCGACATGAATGCCAAACTGGGAGGGGACAACACGGGAAGAGAACTAACCATGGGTCGAGAGGCGCTAGGTGAAATGAACGAGAATGGAGAATTGTTTGCAGAATTCTGCGCATTCAACGATTTGGTGACTGGAGTCAGGCAGTGTGTTCAGGCACAAAGATATCCACAAAGCGACATGGATTTCACCAGATGGACACACTAAAAATCAAATCGACTTTATCTCAATCTCAAGAAAGTGGAGACGGGGTCAGCCTACTTGACACAAGGTCAAGAAGAGGAGCAGATGTAGGTTCACACAATTCACTATCTAGTGCAAGGAACCTTCCAAATCAAGTTAAAAGCCTTCAAGGAAGCTGGTGATAGACCACAGTTCAAGTTCAACACGCAAGACAGAAACTGAAGGACGAAACTACAAAGGAGATCTTCACGTCAGCCATCAAGACAAAATGGGAGACAGCGAGCAACATCCCTGAAGAAACCTGTGTGGAAGAATACTGGAAATCTTTGAAAGAGATGTAGAAAGAAACCTGCACAACAGTATTAGGAAGGAAGAAGAAAGAAGATAAGGAATGGATCTCGACGGATACCTGGAAGGTGATAGAGGAGAGGAGGATGGTGAAGCAGAAGATAAACCAGTGCAAGGATGCGCAACGACAAGAGGAACTGAGGACAATGTATAAAACACTACACTGGACAAAGAAGTGAAGAAGAGTGCACGCAAAGACAAAAGACACTTCTACGAAACACTGGCAAGTGAAGCAGAACAGGCTGCAGGTAAGGGAGACCTGACAACATTGTATCAAATAACCAGGTTGCTATCAGGGAAGAGACCAACACAGATGAAACCAATAAAAGATGAAGAAGGAAATTTAATTACGAAAGAAGAGAAACAGAAGAAACGATGGGCCGACCACTTCAAGAAGCTCTTGAATCGACCACCACCACCACCTGCACTTCGTCCAGAAATACCACCTGCAGCCCAGCCGCTGAACTACAAGTGAACATAAATCCTCCAACGAAAATGGAAGTCCTGAACGCCATAAAGCTACTGAAATGTGGAAAGCAGCAGGACCAGATGGGATCCCACCAGAAACACTGAGAGCAGATGCAGAGACAACAGCGGACATGCTCACACCACTATTGCAGAAGGTGTGGAAGGAAGAGAATGTACCTGGCTAGTGATTGGAAGAAGGGTTACCTTGTCAAACTGCCGAAGAAAGGAGACCTCAGTGCTTGCAAGAACTGGCATGGAATCACTCTCCTGTCCACCCCAAGTAAAATATTAAGCCGCATCATCCTGGAGAGGCTTAAAGATGCACTGGATTCAAAACTACGACCGGAACAGGCAGGCTGGATTCAGGAAGTACAAATCATGTGCTGACCAAATTGCAACGCTTCGCATCATCATAGAACAGAGCATAGAATGGCAATCAGCTCTCTACCTCAACTTCATCGACTTTGAGAAGGCGTTTGACAGCGTCGACCGAGAAGTAATTTGGAAACTGCTTCACTACTACGGAGTACCGCAAACCTTTATCCGCCTCATTCAACAACTATATGAAGATGCCACATGCCGGCCAAGTAATCCACAATGCGAAGCTCAGTGATGCTTTTGAAGTGAAGACAGGAGTGAAACAAGGTTGCCTACTATCCCCCATGATATTC